TGTTGCAGAAATCACTGTTCAAAAGTTAGAAAACAATCAGCGGAACTGAAGCTTTAGACCTTATGGTTCCGGTCTGGAGAAAGAAAAGATGTTCACGGCTTACGTTTCCAGTCTCCATATGTTTTTATTCCATCCAGCATTTGGACAAAGTCCCAGTTTTATCGCCCACAATAAATGAACTCGACAGTCTGTGAGTCTCTGACCTACATGTTGAACGCAGTCAGTGGAAGCTGGTAGACCACAACTTGACGGCTCCTGTGATATTTGCTTCCTCCTCCATCTCCTTCAGTGTTCCAGTGACAGCTCCGCTATGAATCAGGCCCCAAAAACGTTTCATTTAACTGAAGGCATGCAGGTCAAAGACAATGAAATTACCCTGCCATCTTTCATTCTCTTTCCCTATCATGTCTTGGTCTCCCCACTTTACCCTCTTTTATTTCCCTCTGTCACCATTCCTCTCTTTCTCCAGCTCTCAGGGCAGAAATTGCTCTCTCCAAGATGAAATCTCCAAATTGTTGCAAATGACCTACTATTCAAATAAATGGAAAGGATGAAAAGGCAGTGAGGAAACGACAGGAATACAAAAAAAAAAGAGGAACACATGAAAGGAAAACAGGTCAAAATTGGTTTGTTATGACAATGCAGGCAATTTGGGCAGCACATGTACGGTTTATTCGAGTATGACTGCATCCATATTTTGGTCGTCTCCTGTGGGATGCTCGTGTGTGTGTGTGTGTGTTTGTCTTTAGAGAGTTGTGAATTGATTTAATGCTTTCTACACTTGCTATATTAACCTTTTTCCAGTTTCCAGACGAATGAATTAGGTTGTGCATCGTTAAGCTTACTTTTCTTAAGTGAAAACTGGAGAAGAATTCAGTGAAAGACAATAAATTAACCCGGTAGAAATAAATAATCTGCTAAGAGCATTATGGGTTGCCGTGGAAGGATGTTGAAACATTACGATAACGGTACAAGATAAAGGAAGCGCATTTCAGTGTCTAACTATTCCTTCAAACACAATCAGTGATTTGCCATGTGGACATACACAAAGGTCATCCGTAAATGCTTCATGTCTCAAGTGTATAACACCCTGAATGCGCGTGATATTAAAAGGAACGTAAAGATCCAGAGGTTCCAATTCTGTTGCCTTAAAAATATATCTGAGGATGTTAGATATGATTTTTTTACCAGTGCTCCTAAATCCCCTAATTTTCTTCTCTACACTCTTACAGCGTCCCACGGAAGTTACTGTAATCAGTGTTATTTGTTCCCATGTAAATGGCATGCTGTGGGCTCTATTTATAAGAAGTGTGTGGGTAAGGGGAGTCATGGTAGCATGTGGTTAGCACTGTGAGTCAGACTGTGCACGCGTGTGTGCGTGGACATGTATATTTGCTGCATGTATAGCATGCATGTGTGGGCATGTTCAACACATAAGTATGAGGAAGGTGAAGAGATTTCCTTCTGCAGCGCACGGTTCTGTTGTGTGTAGGTGTTGGCGTATGGCTGAGGTAACTAACCATAGAGGGCTTAATTTAAATGTGAAGGATGTAACATTAACACCACAAGGCCTGAGTGGCCAACCCCACTCTGTGATGGAGTGGCTCCACCCACACCTCCGACCTAATGAAACGCTGCTCAAGCATTGTTTTTCCAGCTGATCAATGTGGGTAAAGCAAAGAAAAAGCAAGATGTATTCTCTCCCATCGAGTGGAACTAGAACATGATTGAACAGCTAAAGTCTTAAGGTAAGCGACATGGGGAGTCTAATGGCTTTCAAACAGCATGTTAAAAAATAATTAAAGCAGTTTAGTCATAGATGTTCAACAGGTGTTTAATAACAGCTTCATATATGACTCAACCAGTCTGAGCTGAGGACCGGAGAAAACGGTTACATAAATTACTTGTATCATCATATTTGCATAAATGTCTGTAATTTATACAACGTTTGCATTTAATTTGCATAAATAGTCTAAACCAAAAGACAGGATTGATCAGGCTCCAATGGCTGCTGCCGTTTCAAGGAAGGGGCTTTTTTATGTGGTCGGGAGTGAGGGACTGTGCAGAGAATACAAAGAAGGAAAATACAGATGATCACACACATACTGTACACTTGTAAATACACAGGTACCTGCATGCAGTCTAGAGCTCAAACAAGCAAAAATACTGAATATTCTGTTGTTCAAGTTTCCCAAATACGATTGCTGCCTTTTGTAAACACATTATCTTTGTTTTGGACAAAACAAGATATTAACAGATGTCAAAAAAAATCCAGAAAATAATTGAATAGGCGTATAAACAGGTTCACAGACAGGCTCTGTGTCACATGATGTCTGTTAGTGTGTACAGTGACGCAGATCCCGAGCATGTGTGTGTGCGCGTATGTGTTAAGGAGACAGGTATAAGAAATTATATAACACAAGTCGGAAGTATGGGGAGGAGAGAAACCAAAAAGGCACGACAGAAGAAGAGGACGTGTGATGAAGAGGGAGAGTGAGGAAGCCATGCAAGCAGAGAACAAATCTGTGGGAGCCACTAGAGCAGAACTGAAAGTCACTTGAGTTTTAATTTCCTGCCAGTGGAAGCGAGAACAATATCAAGATTGAAACATGAGTTTCAATGAGTCACTCTTCGAGGCAGCTCAGTGGGTTCAGGCTGTTAACATTCACAACACCACCCCTCCGTCTCCCTCTTCCTCTCTTTCGCGTTATTGCATATAGACACACACACACACACACACACAGTCACACAGTCATGTAGACATAACATGCACATGTGCAAACTAATGCACACATACACACACTTCCACACAAATACAGTGTAATGGCACTAATGAGACTGCATGACTAATACCTCTTCAGTCCCTTCTTCAGATGAGTACTTATTATGGTCTGTCAAGGAGATGAGTCAGTCTATGTCATGGTTACTATGGTGATCAAAGCCTCCAGCACTTCCCTTAAAAACCCGCCGGAAAAAATAAAGCTCTTTAACCCCTTTAACTACAGACCTATCAGGATGCAGTGACACATGCACGCACGCACACACACACACACACACACACACACACACACACACACACACACTTGCAAACAGGCAAACTGACTCTAATCTCCCTCAGGTAACAAATGAAAGGAGAATTCCTCTACAGGGATTATTAGAATACCACAACGTTATAAACAAGATTATAAAGCGTCAAACAAGAGCTGAACAGCAGAGTCAAAGACATATCAACAAGACCTTATTGACCTATTTACACTAACCATATTGGAAGCGATTACTTTTAGGGCTCAATATGCTCCACTTCTTTGGTTCAACCTCAGATCACCTCTGGGTGAGCCTCTCTATGTGTCGGGCAATCTGCTGCCGCTCCTGATGTGATGTCATTTGGTCTTTCTGGCTCATCACACAAGGCATCACATTTATATACCCTGTTGATGTTTCAACGTTGGTGCATGACCAGATCACTGATAAAGGTCGTTTTAACCAAACTGCAAACCATATATCTGAGTGTGTTAGTCATAAAATGGTAGATCATGAAGTTATATGAATAGTTAAGATAACAAACTTGTACTTGTGCGAAATCACAATCTGGTTTACTCATTCATTAATGTCTCCATAGACACTTAGTAGATTACTCTTGCAGTGAATTGATATTTCTGATCATTTTGCCTCATTACTGACAGGTGAAGTGTCGCACAACTGCAATTTCAGTCAGACACACATTAAGAAATTGACAATTTAAAGCAAACAGTGACACCGTTTGGTGGAAAGGGCTGTGCTGAGGGAGCTCCTATAAAGAATCTGAGGATTATGGTTCAGAGAGCCAATCCCCCATAAGCATGAACAATACGCTTTAGCTAAATCAACAATACAAAAGAGCAGATAAGCTGGAGTAAGCAGGAGGTTTGGGTGGACGAGGGAGCTGTGGCAGAAAAAACGGTGTTGGCATGAGCGTGATCATCAAAGTAACAGTGAGAATCAAGATCCACGCTGCACACCTGCATGAATACGACTTGATGTTAATAGCCACGCAGCTGTCAATGAGCCAATCATCGTGAAGCATTCTGCAAATGCCCAATCAGCCAATACTAATGAATTGACACACTTTGGATGCTCGAGTTAGCCATGCCAGTGGGCCTTGAAACTGGCACACCTAAACTGAATAATTAATAATAATGGCTGTGCTTTTTTTTAAAAACATGCATACAGTAGACTATGTGACCACAGATACAAAAGTCATACCCAGAACATACTCTCAAGCATAGATATTAAATAACGCATTAGTATTAGTGTAACAATAAATAAACAAGATAAATATAGTCACAATATTAGTTTTTTATATGTATTTCTTTTTCTAACATTAAAAGATATAGTTATGGTGTCATTTTAAGATTTTTCTTATTTCAGTTTTGGCTAATCCTTTTCAACTAAAAATATGATAAATAAATAGCAGCAATGCTAAAACACCCATCACATATGTTTTTAATTACATGGGATGAGGTCACACAAGCAACACCTACGTTTTTCTGTTTTATTTCCAATGCCTCCCCCACATGAATGTGCTCTCCTGATGACTCCCCTCAGCGCCAAATTTACTCAGCTCTTTCTCGCGTCTACTGCGCATGCCCACAGCTGCTGGGTCATCACATGACAAGGAAAAACGAAACCAAAAAAGCGAAGGGCAGTCAAACGACGAGAGAAGTACTGCTGCGTTATTCCTTGTTCGCTGAAAACCTACCTATCTTTGTATGACAGACCGGAAGAGTGATAAAGTCACGATAAAGTATATATAAGAGCATACACGTGTACACATAATATACATAAGCAGATGTGTTGGAAATACTCTTGATAATACCCAAAAGTAGTCAACATTATGTGAGCTTTAACTTAACGTTAACTAGCCGGCTACATTGATTGCTAGCTACGTGTGCGCATGCGCGTTGTGCTATTGGGCGTAACGGCTTCATCTTGACCGTAGAAGTTGAACTGTGTATCTTTGTAAAACGTTTGCATAAATTGGCAGGCAGAGGAGTTGTGGGGAGTAACAGAAGTTCACGTGGGACAGGTGGCGCAGGAAAAAACAATAAGGGTCGAACTCTAATTAGACGACGATCTGGTAGCAGTTACTTTGTGTGTTTAAGCAGCTAAGCTGAGCTGTGTGTGTGTGAAGATGAGGCTGAACGGAGTGCTCGTGTGCGTGTTCCTGCTTTGGGTTGAAGGGTCTGTGGGTGACACACCGGCCAACTGCACGTTTGAGGACCTGCAGGGGACATGGGTGTTTCAGGTGTCCAAAGGAGGCCGCGACAAGTCCATCAACTGCTCCGCTGAAGGTAAAAAAACCCATTAAACAAGTCACTCTGTTAGGACACGTTAGACGTGATTGAAGAAGTAGTTTCGCAATTTTGGAAATCAGGTGACTTCTTTAGGGCCTGTTTAGGGCGATTCAATCATCGCTTCCTCCTTTTTGTGACGAAGCTTGGTTTGAACCACCTGCATTGTAAACTAATTTGTCTTTCTTTTAATTAACGTTACCAGTTTTTAATACAGTTTTTAATACTCTTGTTGCTGACATTGTGTGTGTGTGTGTGTGTGTGTGTGTGTGTTTTAAGTGTGACCTGCAGATGAAAACTAGCAATAAGCGAACTCTCTCTTACATTACAATACAATGAATGTAAAATAATCCCAACCCTTCATATCCGGTATGAATCTGCATCAACTTTGACATTAAATTTGTGTTTTTATTAAACAAGGAGTGATGCTTTCAGTAGGCCTCACTACTCCCACATCGTTGAGGACTGATGATTGGAACTTTAATCTACAGGTTGAATTAGTCCCTGCAGGTAAACTCGTGTACATTTTGTGTTCCTCCTCAGCTACAGGTGAGAGCTCGCTGACCGTGACCCTGGAGAAGCTGTCTGTAGCCACAGATGAGCTGGGCAACACCGGCTTCTTCACCCTCATCTACAACCAGGGCTTTGAGGTGGTCATTAATGGGTACAAGTTGTTCGCCTTCTTCAAGGTATGACGGGCATGTACACGATTTAGTTTAAATGAGGCATGATTTCAGTATTTAGTCATGGTAATCCTGTATAAACTACACATTTGCTGGGTGGGTGAAAAAGTTTTCAGCAGGCTAGTTCATATCCCATACTTGCATATCTGCAGGTCACCTAGGCCAGGCTAAAATGAGTGAGGAATAATGCCCTATTTGACTGCGGCTATACTGAAGTTTAGTCTTTCAGTCATGTGTTATTTTACGTCGCTCACATGACACTGAGACAAGGGAAGAGTCAGAGCCTGTCTGTCTTCTATCCCATGTTGTGGTTCATCCACGTCTAGTTCAACTTCCCTATTTCCTAAACTTGATTCATCTTAATGTAGCAATATGACAAGAAAGGAGAGACTTCACATTTATAAGCCAATGATTGTCTGAATAATGTACTTGAAATATCTAGCTTTATATGGAATACTCGATTGCTTTGATTAATCCTGAGTGTTTTTGTATTTGCATAAAACTACTTGGCTAAATTGTATTGGATTACAAGCCCTCATCTGATTGCCTCACTACACTCTCAGTACACCGATGATGGCCGTAAGGTGACCAGCCTCTGTGACCAGACCCTGCCAGGGTGGGTCCATGATGTCCTGGGACGCAACTGGGCCTGTTTCGTGGGGAAGAAAGTGAAATCGGTACCACCCCGAATAGATTACAAACCATTCTTCAACAGCAGGTACGTACATGATGATGGCTCAGTACGTTCCTCGATCTGTAAAGTGGACAAACGCAATCTAACAAGCGAGACATCGGTGGTACATGGGGGTGGGTGGGAAGAGAGACTGTTTGTTCGCTGACTCTGGGTGCAGGCGGTGTTGATGATCCGTGCTTTCAGTGTACTGTGCAGTTTTGACTTCTGATTTTATCTACACTTTCATTTCCTCCCTCCATCCTCCTCTGATGTGAACGGAGTTAGCCTCACTCACCCGCGGTAATCTTTGCAAATGGCCTGACAGCTGAGAAATCTGATGTTTGAAGCACAGTCATTGGTGAACAGGCGTGACACAAATAACTGAGTTTATAGCAACATAAAGCTGCTTCTCTCTCTTTGGTTCCAGTTAGCTTTAAACCAGATTAGTCAAGTTAGTTTATTGTAATTTAAACCATAAAGTATATCTGAACAAAACCTCTTTTCTCTCGGCACCAGAGTGATTTAATTTATTGATTTAATTATTTGTATCCGCCGTGTTGTCTGAGCTACCCACCAAAACGGTCACGTTTTTATTTATGATTTGTTTCTTAAATGCATTTGCATCATAAAAGTAATCAATTATTTAGTCTTTTCAACTTTCACGCAGCTTCCTCCTAAACGTTGATTAAACTAGTATTTGCATAATGAGAAGAACTCGCTCTTTTAGAGTATGCAAGAGTGTCTTAAAGTCGACACAAACCCTTTCCTTCAGTTTGTGTGGCAGACGAGCCCCTTTTTTATTTAAAAGCAACCTCACACGTGTCCTCATTCACCCTCCAGGCTGCTCCACCAGCTGTACAGACACAACATGGACTTCATTGAGACCATCAACTCTGTTCAGAAGTCCTGGAAGGCTTCTCCCTACCCAGAGCACGAGACATACACTCTGCAGGAGCTGCACTACCGATCAGGAGGCCCCGCCTCCCACATCCCTGTGTGAGTATTTACTTATTTCCCATACTCTTCAATTTAAATGGCTTTATTGGCATGAATGTATCATTGTATTTTTAAACGTATTCAAATTAAAACGGAACGTCAAACGCTGGTTGGAACAATACAAACTGGAAATAATGTGAAACTACCAAAAACAAGGTGCAGGAGTCTCTCACTTTAAAACATATGAATGCACAGAAATGAGTCATTTGTGCTCCTAAATACATTTTCTCCATGTATCCTGCTCAGCTCTGTCCTGTTCATTAGGTTAGAAGGTTTATGAAACTGCTTTTATAAACGGTATCCGTAAGTTTCTAGTGAAATGTGTGTGTGACCAGCTCCAAAGTCCTCTTCTTCTGGTTTTTACGGCGGTTGGCCTCCAGCCTATTGGTGCATTACCAAAGTCTGTTGGCTACCTTTTGCACCACCAATCAATCTGTGCAAAATCAACACATACTTGAACTAACAAGAGAAGGGAGGCCAGCACAATCGACATCTGCTTGAACTTCTCTCATCAGTTAAAACCTTCAAATGGTACTTGAGCAAACGGATCTATCTTAAGGTGGAGCTACATGCAATTTATTTCTACAGTATTAGGTTTTCTGTAAATTGTCATTGCAAAATGTCTTACAGAAAATTCCCTTGTGATTGAAATGTGATTTATTTAATTTTTTTACTTTAGGCGTGTTCGCCCAATGCCTGTGAAGGCTTACGACGTCAAGGTGGCGTCTGCGCTACCTGAGCACTGGGATTGGAGGAACATTGACGGCGTTAACTTCGTCAGCCCTGTGCGAAACCAAGGTGGCGTTTGATTGCTGGCCTGTGCACACATGATATTAGATATGATTCAAAGGAGTTGCAGGAGTCAGACCAAGCCGTACCACTTGAGCGGCTGTCTGCCGGCTACGTTGCTTCCTTCTTGGCAGGCCCGGGTCTCCTTCCTGCTGTGTGTGTGTGTGTGTGTGTGTGTGTGTGTGTGTGTGTGTGTGTGTGTGTGTGTGCTGACTTAAGTGAGCTGTGGGTCCAACATGACAAACTTCTTATCTCTGAAACTGATTAAATCCTACATTATAAGACAGCAAAGTGTTCCCACTAGCGCAGATCTTTAATTTAAATAGTTGTAGCACCATATTGCTCTTAGGAGATGTTAAGTTTTGGACCCAAATGAAAACTGTTCTGTCACCCTGACTTGAATCATTACTACAATTAAACCACCGCCTCTCTTCTCTGACCTAATTTGTTTCCGCAGAGCATTTTATTAAGAACCTGGTGCCTCACACTATTAATGGTAACCAGTGTATCTGTGCCTTGCTCATTATTATGTATTACAACTAATGCAGATGAGTGTACTGGGGCAGGAACTTTACCTCTCCACTTTACATTAAATCAACGGATGTAATGTATTATTGAACAAATGTGCTTAATGATTAATCAGGGTTTTATTTCAGGGGTGTTGAAGCAGATTGCATGTGCAGGTGCACCTACAGTATCTGAAGATAGCTTTGCTTGACAATGTCAGAGTTGACATTACAGTAATTGTGTAGTGGTGTTGCGGCATTGCCTTATATTGAAATTGCTTCCAATGTTCTGTCAACTTAATTTACATGCATGAGGACAGAATATGCAATCTAGAACAGTTGACTTGTACAGCTTCTCAAGGTTCTAGTTGTAACTCTGTTTTATTTCAGCGTCGTGTGGAAGCTGCTACTCCTTTGCCTCTATGGGAATGTTGGAAGCTCGGGTTCGAATCCTCACCAACAACAGCGAGACTCCCATCCTCAGCCCCCAACAAGTGGTCTCCTGTTCTGAATACTCTCAAGGTAAAATAACTCTCAATCTAAAATCTTGTTTCCAGACCATATCGGTTAATTCTTCCATCTTGGACCACAAAACACAATTTCACCTCGTTAGAAAGTCAAGAGAACCTCAAATCCTTTTATTTCGTTTGATGATAACAATTTCCGACCTGTTGAATAAACCAGATTTAACCGTCATCTCTCCTCTTTAAGGTTGCGATGGTGGCTTCCCTTACCTGATTGGGAAGTATGTACAGGATTTCGGCATTGTGGACGAGTCGTGCTTTCCGTACACCGCTAAGGACTCTCCGTGCGGCGTTCCTCAAAACTGCGGCCGCATGTACGCCGCGGAATACAGCTATGTCGGTGGATTTTATGGCGGCTGCAGTGAGAATGCCATGATGTTGGAACTGGTCAAGAATGGACCAATGGGAGTGGCCTTTGAGGTACAACAGCTGCTCACTGGTTTCCTACCTGCTATCTCTTTACAGATTGTGTTCACGCAACAATTAAGGTTGTTGCTCTCTCGATGCAGTTTAGATTTTAAGACCCTCCTGCTTCATGGTTACAGCTTGCATTCGATTTGATAAATTCAAAGTAACTCATCCCTGTCCTTCCTCAGGTCTACCCCGACTTTATGCACTATAAGGAGGGCATCTACCACCATACAGGCCTCGCAGACCCCTTCAATCCCTTCGAGCTGACCAACCATGCCGTGCTGTTGGTGGGCTACGGCCGCTGCCACAAGACCGGACAGAAGTACTGGATTGTCAAGAACAGCTGGAGCGCAGGCTGGGGCGAGGACGGCTATTTCCGAATCCGCCGGGGCAGCGACGAGTGTGCCATCGAGAGCATCGCCGTCACAGCCAACCCCATCCCCAAACTGTAGAGGCTGTAAACCGAGGAGGAGAGGAATGGGTTGCTCTTTTGATGACATACATTCAGCATGTCGGCCTACAATGTTGCTTACATTTTGAACTGTTTCTGGATTTCAACAATCACTGATTAGCTGCCTATGAATGATTTGAATTCACGCTGTAGCTGCCGACTCAAATTCTGGATCAAAATGCATCCGTACAGAATGTGACGAGTCTGTTTGTGTGCCGGGGGCAGGGCCTTGGTTCTTTGTCTCAGGGTAGCAACAGCGGAGAGTTGTAATATATTCTGTCCTTGCATCAAATTGAAACCGTGACTGCCATGTTTTTCTGTGAAGCACTTTGTATGAAGCTCCCTGTGGAGCTTTTAAAGGGAATTCTTAATCAATAAAGGGATGAAACTCACTGTAGTGCCTCTTATTCTTTTCAACAGAATGAAAGCGTTTCAAGATGACGTTTCTCTGTGTGTGAAAAAGATGGAACACAATTTTAAATCAGTTTCTGGGATGGTGGTTATCTCTGGTTAAGGTGGGTCTTTTCATTTATTTTTTGTTCAAGCAAAGACTCGACTATACGTGCAAGAAAGTGAACCGGTATAACTCGACTGCATAAGGGGTTGAAGGCATGACTCAAACAAATGGTTGATTTACTCAAATGGGAGGAACCTGCCTTCAGGGCTTTAACAGAAATCTGAGGTTTTAGGCAACAAACTGTTAGGTTTAGGAAAGCTCATGGTTTGAATTAAAAATAACTTATCTGGCAGAAGATCCTGAAGGCAAACTTATTGTGTGCTTGATATACTGGCACAACCCTCTTTCAAGTGGGTGAATGTTTAATTTTCTGACTTCCACTGATGGAAAGTAACTAAGGACGTTTAGTCAACTACTGTAATTAAGTACATTTTTGAGGCACTTTTGCTTGAGCATTTCCATTAAATGCTACTGTATTTCTTTAATCTAAAAAGGTCTTCCACTGATTACTTAATACTAAAAGAGTTTATCCCCTCCGGTTTGGATGTTTTAAAATACACCCGGCACTCCCAGGCAGCTCCCCCGCATGCGTCACAAGGTCTAGACGTCTCTGCTCCACTTCCCTCTGTGAACCAGGGCGTACCTCACCTCCCCCTTCTCTCCGCCACTCGACTCTTTCCCAACTCTCGTCGGTCCTCTCCGTGCTGTCCTGTGCCGCTTCTCTCCTGTCATCCCCCGGCCCTCCATTACGGTGGATTCATGCTCGGCTCTCGCCCTCCTCCGTCGCCATGCAGAACAACCACAATAAGGAGCATCTCTATAAGATTCTTGTGATAGGGGACCTCGGGGTCGGCAAGACCAGCATCATCAAGCGGTATGTCCATCACAACTTCAGCCCCAACTACCGAGCCACCATCGGGGTGGACTTCGCACTGAAAGTCCTCAACTGGGACCAGGAGACGGTGCGCCTACAGCTGTGGGACATTGCAGGTACAGTCCAACTTTTACGCACGAATGAATAACGGCTTATTTAATATCTTTAAAATATATATTTTTATATATGACTTAGGCTACTGCTCAATAATACATGGATCATGGTGTATTTGTCAATATTTTTTCAAAAACCTTTTTTTTGGTTTGTTTTTTAGATGAAGCTGAAAATGGAATACACTTTGGTAGACAGATTATATTGGCAGTTTAATAAATCCACTCGGTCGATGGTAAATAGTCTTTTTAGTGAAATTAGCTTAAGGCTACATTTTGAAATTCATTGTGACAAGCTATAGTCCTTAGGGAAATGTTTATAATTGTTTTTTCCCTTTTTCTGAATGTCACTTGATTGAATTAATCTGCTAAACAATTACATAAAGTGGTTATGAAAATCACCTTTTCCATCCTCAATGAATGCCATTTTAGATAAGAGACAAAACTTTCCAAACAATATGAAACATTTATCAGAGGTTGGCTGCTCAAGTGAAAAATAGAGATGTTTTTATTCAGGAAAGGCAACAAGTTGCTTCAAGTCAAATATGGAGGATGGAAACTTGATTACTATATTGTAAAGAAAATGTGTATTTTAGATCCACCGATAGTTTGAGGTTAGTGATAAAATGACAACCATGCAGGGAAGGAGCATGAGACCATGTCGTCACAGTTGGAGTTATCCAGGGTTAATATTCCTCACTCATGTGTACCAGCTGACCTGTTGGCATTACTCACTTCAAATCATTTGGCAACTACATTTCTGCATTTACATGTTTTCGCTTTAATTACACACACAGACACACACACACACACACACACACAAAAAAAAGAAATCTAGAGAAGTTATGAAACAGAAACTTTCTCTAACCATGGTGCCTAAATCACATATAGCATCATGAATATTATTATATATTTTATTGATATTCATTTACACGATATTTGACACCTTTCATGCACAAAACAAAGTTAAATCTGTTTCACTCTATGGGGCTGTGTCGTGGTAGCAAATAAGTTGTCTTAATAACGTGGTTAACTCATGAATTCATTCGTTCATACATACATATTTACATGTATTCAATACATAACAGTAAATCGGCTGCTCCCCCAGTGGCCACTCACTTCTTCTCTGCAATCTACTGAAGAAGAAGTGACTTTCTTCACTCAATCTTCTTCGTAAATATTTTGATTCGTTTTTTTTGTACTATGTATGTTTGTAGTTATTGGGGTTCAGATATGACCCACCCAGACCTGGAGAGCAGAGCAGTCCTTTCGATAAAGTAGAGAATATCTGCTGTGAAAAGGAGAAGTTGTAATCTCAGTATTTAAATGCTTTGATTGTCTTTGGGGGAACACAGAAATAATGAAGCCAAACAAACCTAAAGGCCACAGCAGTCTCATCTCACGTGAGTGTCGGCTGAGGTTTAGAAGAATCCTCTGACCTGCTGCTCTCTCCCCTCCTGTGCGCCCTCTCCAGTAAGCACAAGCAGTCATGTGTCTCAAACTCATGTGAGGGAGATTTGAGGCCCAAGCTCTTGTATACAGAAAAGCTTTTATTGTGAGCTAAGGATGAGTGTCTCCCTCTGTGAAAACTGCTATAGGTCGGTACTGTATGTGCTCCCTACGTACTCGCCCTAAAGTAATGGAAGCCAAGAGGTGGGAACGCCTGAATTGTTCATCTTAGTTCGGCATAGTCCGTCCATTATATTATCATATGGCTTCTCCATTTAGCTAGGATCATAGAAAGGACAAGATTATGTCAACTAAACACACTGGTTTCAAAGCAAATATGTACATTAAATGTCCTGAAAGAAGTTTGCACCTGGCATCTTACTTTACCCAGCACTGCCGTTGGCTTGTTTGGGGATTTGATGATGCACTGAAGTTTGCGGATGCAATAAATCACGTGCATTTCCTAAGACAAATGATAGCATCAACTGTTCTATGTCCAGGGCTGACAGAGTGACGTGGCTATAGTTGCACACACATAGCATGGAGATGTGAAGCTGGTTTAGGGCTTATTAGAGCGGCTTTATAGATTGTTCAGCCTTTTTGAAATCACATCGATATACATGTTGAGCTGTGGAAGTCAGTGGCTGCAGAAGCCATTGAGGTTGGAAAGACTCAGTTTCAAAAAGGTGCGGTCATGTAAACCTATGCACCAATCAGCATTCAGTCAAATCTGATCAAACTACACCCACACACTGGGTGTAGTTAGAGATTTTAACTGTTAAATTTATAACATTTTTTTCCGAAGTTAAAATATTGCATATTTAGTCCTTAATATTTAATTTGATAGAGAAATACTTGAGTTTCAAATCAATATTTTAAGTATTTTTATCATTTATATTTGATACAAGTTTCTGCCCTTCTGGCATGTCCTTGAACGAGACCTCATCCCAGCTGTTGTGCAGCTGGCCCCGCGCTCTGATCCACCTGTGCAGGAGAGCAGGTGAACAGCAAATGTTCCTTTGGGCCTCATCACAGTAGCATGAAAATGAATATCAACCCCTTTCTTCTTCACTACGATGCAAACTGCTTTGGGAAGGATCAGCTGAGGTTTTAGGTTCAGTCCACAGTGTGACAATGTTTGGTACTGATGGTGCTCTAGCAAACGTTATGGATGGGAAAAATCAGTGTGGATACAACATTCCTACAGAGCTTATCGAATTAATTTTACCCTCAGGAATTTCTACAGTTCACAGGCAAGCACGCACACACACACTCACACATACACTAACACCAAAGACTCCTCTCTCCTCCTCCAATCATGCCTCTATCCGTGTCTCCATCTTATCTCTCTCTTTCTGCAGCACTTTTACCAGTAAAAACATGCATGTCATTTTGTGTGTATCCGTGTTTGTGGTTGAGAGAGTGGGTGAGGTATGTCGGGAATGCTTGCTCGGTAGCACACATGAGACGGGAGTGTGATAAAATGAGTTAATCGGATGATTCATGCCTCTGTGTCTGTTTGCTGCTGAGGTGACACAGCATCACTTGCAGCTTTTTCGGTGCCAGCATGTGGCTCATCGCCACCATAAAGGGGTGCAAAATAACAAGATGTGCTTCAAGAAAGTACAACATGTTTCTGCACCTTTACACCAAAATGCTAATCATTTTATTTGTGTGTGTATACGTCTGTGTCCTTGTCCGTGTGTGTTTTCTAGGTCAGGAGAGGTTTGGCAACATGACCCGCGTGTACTACCGCGAGGCCATGGGCGCCTTTATTGTGTTTGACGTCACAAGGCCCGCCTCCTTTGAGGCCATCACCAAATGGAAGGAGGACTTGGATTCCAAACTGACACTTGCCAATGGGAAACCTGTTGCCACTGTGCTTTTGGCTAATAAATGCGACGAGGGCCGGGACGTACTGACCAATAATGGAATAAAGATGGAGAAGTTCTGCCAGGAGAACGGTTTTGTGGGATGGTACGAGACGTCCGCTAAGGTGAGAAAGATGGGACACACACATATAAATACAAAGCAGTGACATAGCGATAGCATTGTGGTGCTGTGGATAGACAGAGTAGCTTTCAACAGGAGCTCTTAGGCTCAAGCAGGCGTGTCCTTCCTGTTCAAATGTCCTTGAGAAGCATCTGACTCCCTACCAGCTTGACTATATCAGACCCAGCACCCGATCACCCTGTGGGGACGCTACCACAGAGGCACATTCAGGATGTGAAGAAATCCTGTAACAGGAGGCTTGTTTTTACAAGATTAGTTAAAAAACACATTTCACTACACTCAATGTTACAAAGTATTTATGTAAGCTTGTTGCTGTAACTTTTACAATTATTTGACTGAGCAACAAAGTACACAGAAATGATAAATTATGAAACGCAAATATGAAACTCTTAAACTTAAAAACTTTGATAAACTATAGTGCAGTATAATTACTTATTGATGCAGACAGGAATGAAATAATGTGGTGAGTGAATCCTGATGGTGAGATGAGCTGAGGATTCACCCACCCACACACTAAGTCACCGAGACACCAACACAAGCTCTGATAGCAGCTAATGAAGAGAAGGAATCTCACAGCTGGGTGTTAAGGGAGGAAAATAGACCGGGACGTGCGCACACACGCTCACACACTCACTCACAAACTGTTACAGTACTGAATTTGTATGTACTGTACAAACAGTGCAGTCAAATTTGACCAATGTGGAAGCACTCTCAATTACAGTGCTGTATATAAAAGTATGAATTGACTTACTCTTGTTTTGTTTTGTTTCTTTAAGTCCCATTCTCTGGGTGTTTGGAAACGCCTTGAGTGAATTTCTTAAAACTTGGCACAAACATCCTCCTGCACTCAGGGTTGAAATGAATAGAATTGGTCAAAACGTGTTTTTGGCCACAACTTATGAATTCATATGCTTTTTATGAATTATGAATTTCACGCAAATGCTAACACACAGACACGGATGTAAACTGCAACATGACTCATTGGTGGAGGCATACATGGTAATTCTACTTTTGAATTGAGAGGCTTTACTTAAAAGCACCGCCACCAGTCATGTGACATTTGTTCAAGTTGGTCACAGAGTGTGAGCTGGAATGTGAAAGATTCTACTGGTTGCAGTGTTAACTGTAGAGTCTGAAGCCCATACAGGCATTTTGTTTTGTGTTTGTTTTCATAAAAACCTGCCAAGTCATCCTATTTGTAATCATAAATATAAATAGCAGTAGACCATAAATATTTCACGACATGCATCTTGATGCCTCAAGTGTCATTTGCCCAAGAAAAGTTAATTTTTTTTAGCTGATTGAGTGTATAGAGTCTGTACGCATGCACATGTTCTGCATGCACAATAATGCACAGGGAATTGAGTGAAGTTGGCAGAGTGCAGAGCAGGTGTTTTTGTTGTGTTATATTTTGCTTTGGAAGAATCTTTTGTAGCAGATCTAACAGTAAGTATGATAGATCACGACATGGCACAGGGAGCTGCTGCAGACCGCAGGAGGTCACATCCTACTGAGCACACTGTTAGATCCTTTGAATATTCAGTATTTCTACTGCTACTGCATCACATACTGTAATGACTTCATAAATGATTATCCTGGTAGCCACATTTTGTAATTATATAATTGAAACTGGTTCCAGACCCGTTGTTGCAATTCATGTCCTTCTCTGCACCCTGCTTCCTGCCTGTACCCAATTAAGGCAAAATTCACCAAAAATAACCTTTCATAATTGCATAATGAAAAATAACAAACATGGAAAAAAAATGCAAAATGACTGTGTAAAGTTGTACCTCATTTAAATTTACAATATGGAGAGTAGAATAGAATGAGCTGCACTTCAGGCATTTATTTATGTCAGACAAAGATCATACTGTTGTTGTACTGTTTATTTAAAACGTTCCCTCAACTGTATTTAGTTTACACCACTTTCATTCTGTCAAGATAACATCAAATCAAAGCTACTCAGCTGTGACAGAAAACACACTCTTTCACATTATTCAGCACCTCATGCTTTATATTTGTGAGCTACAGATTGCTGATTAATGAATCATTATGTTCAATTTGGGTTTGAATATTTATCTCTCCAGTTTGCAAGTGCCTGCGTAGATTTAACATATTCGTATTTTTATTTGACAATAGCGTCTTTGCTACTGTGAGAGTGTAATCGTGTTCATATTATTGTCTGCAAAGGCATTAAGATTGTTACATGTCGACATACATCAGAAATACCTAACTATTTATGCTATTGTTGTTGAGATTCAACACATTGTACTCTACTTGTTTGATCACTCATCGCATTGTGTTGGTATGTAAATGAGGGATGGGGTTGTTTTGTCATTTGTCACTGCCTGAACTACAGAGACCACTGGCAGCAGCTGGGAAGATATTTATGTAAAAGTACCTTCTCACAACATGGCTGCTGGCTGGTGCCTCATCCGTCCACTCAGTCTAGTCACGGTCCATTCGGTTCACTCACCTGCTCGCACAGGTTGTTTTTTTTAGCAGCACTTGTTTTATACCTTTTATAAAAATGTTTGCATTTATCCATTTCTCTTGCCTCCTCCTCTCTTTTTTTGCCCACCATCTCTCCTACTATTTGTTCCTTCTACTTTTTCCTCTCGTTCAGGAAAACATCAACATCGATGAAGCGGCTAACTGCTTGGTGAAACACATCATTGCCAGTGAGAATGACATGCTCCAATCAGAAGTCCCGGACACCATCACCCCCCAGTTAGAGAACGACAAAGGCGGGACATGCTCCTCCTGCTTCAGGTCCCAGTAAGAGCCCTCGACAGCTGGATGTCCTTTTGTATCTCATTACACACAAAGTTGAGTTTGTCTGTGAGCAGGAGACTGAGGGAGAAGTGCTTTGGCTGTTTTTTTGTTTTTAGGAAGCATTTACTGGTGCCAACTCTTTCCCAGTCTTGTAGCTCGGATGGGGGGGTTGGGGGATGGGTGCTTAGAGGATGGCAGACAGGCAGCTGGCTCAAGAAATGAAGACAGAAAGAGAGGAATAGAGATGGCTGCAGCTGTGTGCGCTTGTCAAAGGCAAAGTCACCTTCTGGACGACTTCAAGTCTTACAGTTAATGAACACATGCACAAAAAGATTGCAGCAAATCACAGTATATCTGTAAAAGGGTCCATAGAGGTAATCTCTAGTTGTTATCTCTCTCCCTCCTTCTCTTGCCCCACTCTGTGTCTGAGTTTGTCTCTGCTTGTTTCTCTCTCCTCAGCCCTCCCTAGTTTTTCACACGTCATTCTGGTCGAATAAACAGGCGGAAAGCACATTTATCTATCGTTTTCCTCCAGATATTGAAATTCAATCTCAGTCCTGATAACACTACAGCTGTATTATTCGCTATGGTTTCTTCCGATTTGGTTTTATTTCATTTTGTTTGGTCATTTTTATGGCACTGTCTTTTCTTGTCTTACCTCATCTGCCAGCTCAGTAATGTATAGCGGATTATATTGATAATTAAAGTGCCTTTTCTAAACCATTTTATTTAATGTCATCAATAGATGTATTCAATGCATATTGTATTTATAAGTGCACTTAAAGGTGTGTAGAATGACCTCACTTTTCATCACGGAGGTAAGCTTCCACTCATTTCCATGGCAACACATTCAAAATACTATGCCAAACATTGTGTGTTTCAAAGAATGACTCCTTAAAGCAACAATAAAGTCTATTGTTCCATTAAATGGTTTTATATTAAATCTGAATTCCACTGTTCAATATTTGTAATATTTGTAATTATGGAATAAATGCATTTATATATAAATATATACAAACATGTACATAATATATGGAATATAATGAGAATCCAGTTTTCAACATGCACTTATGAATAAACCATAGCTTTACTGACCTTTGTCTGAATGTGATTTTATGTTGAAAATTGCACACCCAGGTGTTTTCAATCACTCTGGCTGATTAGACCAACAATAGTAAAGGTGTCCATGTGTCCATTTTGTGTTTATGTTTTGATTTCACTATCATTTCACTTGTTTTTTAAAAAAAAGCACTCTCCATCATGTCTGTGTGCCCACAGACAGTAGATCCAGATATTTGAACACAAGTCAAACAACAGAAATTTAGATCCAGAGCAGAAAATCCTATTTAGAGGGGTCCCAGGAGCAATTCAAACTATTATCAGGGTTTTTATATCTCTGGACAGTTTGTGTGTTTTGGAGTTGTGACCAGATCACACTTGATTGACATGCCCTTGTTAATTGTTGCTGTTACAAAGAATAAACATGGCACAAACAGGCAGAGTGACATTTTTTTTTTGTTTCAAGATTATTTAAAGGTTTTGCAACCAGCAGCGTCACAACTATTCAGGTCAGATGTCCGTTAAAGTTGTGGTCAATTAACACACCATTCCCCAAACCATTTACTTTTTCAATCAGTTAATGCACAATCTGAATTACAACAATATTGCTGGATCTGCATGATTAATGAGGGGTGCATTATTTTTCAAGGTGCTTGGTCGGACAGCAACATACCATTTTAAGTTAACAAATCAAATTGATGCACTTCTTCTGGCACTGAACCACAGAATGTATTTCCAATGCTGTGTCTCTCTCTTTAACACATTTCAGGCTTGTGGACAAACATTCATTTATTCCTGTTAGAAGAGGATTATGTCTTTTTCACAGCATGTGTCACAGGTCACTCCAGCTAATATGCTAAAAATCCCATTTCACAGAGAAAAAGTTCAGAATCCAGTGTAATAGTTCTAGATTTATTTTTCTTGGTGACTGGCCTCTGACATGTTATGTGACTGCAGCCAGCCAACACCACCTTCATACTGTAACTGAAAACACACACTTTAAAGGTCATGAGATACTGTACCTAGAATTGTTTGATATTAATGATCATTTCATTGAGATTAAAAGTTCCTTCCTTTTGGGATTTTTAGTTGTCAGAGTAAAGAACAGGAAAACCAGGGGTTGTCTACACTGCCACACTATTTTCAATAGTTAGTTAGGTAGGTTCAGGGATTTCCTATGCTAATAAAAAGCGATCACACAAAGAAGAAGCCAGATTAGGGCAATACTATTTAGATTTACTTGTAAATGCTTTTTAAAATCCAGTCACAGATTCAAGTACGGTCTTGCTCGATTTGTACACATGCTGCACCAAAACGTTACTGTCCTGTTACTCAACCTTTTTCAGTCTTTTGCCTCCTCCAGCCTCAGACCAACTCTCTGTCTAATTAACGCCCTCTGAAGATAACATTTTGGACCTCGTTTAACACTGTGGTTTCTTTTCATCCCAGTGAGACGAAGACACGATCTATTGTTCAGCAAGAGTGTCTGTTGGATATCGGTTCAGAAGTGAGGGCATGCACCCGAGAAAAAGACGGTGCCGCTCTCTAATTTGTAATAATTGGATCTGATTTTCAGCATTGATGTAACAATTTGTTCGAGAAAACACAGGGCAGAGCGAGCAGGGAGAGAAGTTATGTGGGAATTTTCCTCTGCTGTGTGTCAGAAGCTGACCCTTCTCTGTACTCTCACACACACACACACACACACACACACACACACACACACACACACTCAGAGCCTTACAGACCACGCCCCTGTGTCACGTGGTCACGTGTTCGTACCATATAAGGAGTCAGAGCTCCGTCAGTGAGGAGATGACGTTTAGATAACATCATATTAATAATAATAATAATAATAAATAATAACAACATTCACAACTTAAAGTTATAAAGTCAGATAAACAAAGACCTCCATCTTGGTTTCTGCACAGAAGCTGAAGTCAAGCAGCCATTTTGTTTCACAACTTACCGCGGCCGTAGCAACAGTAACTAAGGGGGCGGGGCTTACCGGAGGGTCAGTTCAGAGGGAGTGACGGCGAGAACACGGAGACTCCGCGAGACTTGAATGGACAAGTTATTCCAGCGTGAGTCCAGGAGAGCAGTAAGAGAGGAGACCTGCTGGACCCAAGAGAGCAGGACCAGGACCAGGACAAGAACCAGGACCAGGACCAGAACCAGGACCAGGACATAAAGCAGGTTTAAGAAACTCTGAGATGGACAGCGGTACCAAGAGTCACCAAGGCAACAGGTAAAGTTATAAACATTAAATAATGTGGCCTGTGAGGAAACAGGAAGCTACCAAAATAAAGTTCATTCAGTGTTTGACTTTAGATCTACTAGTTCAGCTTCAATGTGTTTATTACCGTGTTATAAACACAAACAACCACGAGACATGGGGGGGGCTGTCTGTATGGTTGGTAGTGTGTGTGTGTGTGTGTGTGGGAGGGGGGGTGTTAACGTTAACAGGTTATTGATAGTTCTCTGGTTTATTTCAGCTACTAGATGTAAATGTAAACATGTTGAATTCATAACTTTGTGTTTCTGATGGTTAGTTAACTAACTATCTCCAGAGCTGGTCTGGGGGTCCCGGAGAGGGTCGGTGAGGGTTTTGAGGTGGGACAGAGGTCAGGGTGACGGGTCTGTAGTCATGAAGTCCTATGATCCTTGTTCTTTGTGGACGGGGGTGATGGTGGAGGTGTTGAAGCTGGTAGGTGGTCTCCATGGAGGTGTTGAAGCTGGTAGGTGGTCTCCATGGAGGCCTTGAAGCTGTTATGTTTGATGTCTGTGAACACTGGAGACAGCTGATCAGCATAATGCTTCAGGTGGGGGGGGGAGACAGAGTCCTTGTCGGCTGGTTTGCGGGGGTTCTGTCTTTTAAACATGCTGGAGAGAGACGTCATTGTGGTGACGTCATGGGGGGGAGGGGACCCCCTCCCCCCCATCCCCCAGGGCGGGCTGGGGGATGGGGTCATGGGAAGCCCAGGAAGCGGAAGGACTCCACCACGTCGACGGGGGAGTCACACAGGGTGATAGGGGGAGTCACACAGGGTGATAGGGGCAGGTGGGGCTGCATTCTTCCGGACATCCACAACCATCTCCACTGTCTTTCGAGCATTGAGCTCCAAGTTGTTCAGGCCGCACCAGGTCACCAGATGGTCAGTCTCCCACCTGTAGGCGGACTCATCCACCAGAGATGAGTCCAATGAGGGTGGTGTCATCCGCGAACTTCAGGAGCTTGACGGACTGGTGACTGTAGGTGCAGCTGTTGGTGTACAGGGAGAAGAGCAGAGGGGAAAGAACGCAGCCTTGGGGGGAACCGGTGCTGATGGTCCGGGAGGCTGAGACGTGTTTTCCCAGCTTGACGTGCTGATCCTGTCAGACAGGAAGTCTGTGATCCACTTGCAGGTGGAGTCGGGCACGTGCAGCTGGGATGGGTGATACAGAGGCATGGGCCCCTGCTGGGCTGGGGGAGGGGGACCTGGTGATCTGGGACTGGTTGATGGAGCTGTGGGGGATGGAGTCAGGACTGTCCCATTGTCCATCAAAGCGACAATAGAACTGTGTGGGGGGTTTTTGGCTTGTAGTTGGTGATCTACCTGAGGCCTCTCCAGACAGAAGCAGAGTCACTTGCTGAGAGCTGGTGTTGCAGTTTCTCAGAGTACATTCCTTTAGTGTCTCTCACCGCCTTACTAAACCTGTACTTTGACTCTTTATACAAGTCCTTGTCCCCACTCCTAAATGCCTGATCCTTTTGCAGTCTTAGCTGTCTGAGTTCTGCTGTAAACCAGGGTTTGTCATTGTTGTAACTCACCCTGGTGCTTGATGGAACACAGCTGTCCTCACAGAAGCTGATATATGAAGTTACAGCCTCTGTGTACTCATCCAGACTGTTGGTAGCAGTCCTGAGAACATCCCAGTCTGTACAGTCCAAGCACGCCCGAAGATCCTCCATAGCCTCACTGGTCCACTTCTTGTGTGGACTTCACAATAGATGAGCAGGACAAAATAAGCATTCATAAGAAAAGGAAAATCCTCCGTTTTGTGTCCATCGCCCTCAAAGCCGCTAACCGTGACTTTAGACGTCTCCGTAGGTCTGATAACTCTGCTGGGCACGCTCACTGATCGCTCCATTAACAGCTGCTTCCTCTGTAATAATGCAGACTTTAACTGAACAACAGCTGCTAGCAAAGACAACAAGGTCAGCAACACCTGTAATCAGTTCTCCATGTTGAATTAACCTGGTAGTCGATAATCAAGGCTGTTGTTGTTTGTGATATCTTCAAGGAAAAGGGTCACGTGATAGGGGCGTGACCAATCAGGGAAGAACACGTCGTGACTGCTAACAACTAATCAAGTAGCGAACGCGGGCGTCTACGTCATCGTTTATAAACGTATCCGTTTACGTTCGTCCACACTAGGAGGTAACTCCAGAGTTTTTAAACTTATCCGTCAAACTCGTTTTCTGAAACAGAAACCAGGACCAGGAGCACGACAAGACCGGACTGGAGGAGGACCAGCGGAACCCGGACCACAGGAGCAGCAACAGAGGACCAGCAGCAGGACCGTCCTCTGACAGCAGCGGTGTTCAAGTCAGTGTTCAGGATCTGACGGATACAAATGAACGCTGGTGTAGTTTTGATTAAGTGACTAAGTGTGTTCTTATGTCTGTCTGTCTGTTGCTATAGAAATGGGGAGGATCCTCCACAACTTCTGGATTTGCACAGATTGACAGCGGACGGAGACCTCACATCTGTGACCAATGTGGGAAAGGGTTCCCGTGGAAGAGTAGTTTAGAAATCCATCAACGCATTCACACTGGAGAGAGACCTTACAGCTGTGACCAGTGTGGGAAAGCTTTCCTGTGTAAGAGTAAGCTAACAATCCATCAACGTATTCACACTGGAGAGAAACGTCACAGCTGTGACCAGTGTGAGAAAGGGTTCCCGTCTAAGAGTGAGCTAACAATCCATCAACGCATTCACACTGGAGAGAAACATCACAGCTGTGACCAGTGTGGGAAAGCTTTCCTGTGTAAGAGTAAGCTAACAATCCATCAACGTATTCACACTGGAGAGAAACGTCACAGCTGTGACCAGTGTGGGAAAGCTTTCAATCGTTCATGCGGCCTGAAACTCCATCAACGCATTCACACAGGAGAGAAACCTCACATCTGTGACCAATGTGGGAAAGCTTTCACACAGTTATCCCAGTTAAAGGTCCACCGGCATATTCACACCGGAGAGAAACCATACCGTTGTAACCAATGTGAGAAATCTTTTGCAGCCCCAGCAAACTTCATAAAACACCAACGTGTTCACACCGGAGAGAAACCATACTGGTGTGACCAATGCGGGAAAGGTTTTGCTTCGCAGAGTAACTTTACTGTCCACCAACGTGTTCACACTGGAGAGAAACCGTACTGGTGCGACAAATGTGGGAAAACTTTTTCTCGAATTAGCAACCTTAAAGTCCACCAACGCATCCACACATCATCGCCAAGCTAGTTCCCCCCCATGTCCCGATAGCTGTGTTGTTTTTATGACCTTCTCTCACATTGATATCATGGAAAGAGTCTCCTACAACTCTTTGTAGTTGTCTTTGGTCTCTTTGTAGTTGACCCATTAGTCCCGTAGACCTGTTCATTAATCCATCCTCGAGTCGACAGAAAGTTCAAGAACATTCACATCCGACACCAGAGACCATCTTAAATCCCCCCCCCAAAACAACCATCTGTTATCATGTGACTTCTGGATTAGATCGACGGACGGACGGACGGATAGATAGATAGATAGATAGATAGGTAGATAGATAGTTAGTTAGCATAATTAGTGTTCCCATTATTGTTTTCATAAATGTTTTTTGTTATTGTTCTCTTTTAGTGAAACGTTCTTTTATTTTAGTGGCCTTCTCTTTAAATAATCTTTTGTTACGTTCATGTTGAGTTTGTATTTTCTGTTTTGAATCCATTTGTTCAGACTAAACATTGTTTCATGACAGTGAGGAGCTGATCGGACTCTTGGTCACTCGTTGATGATCAATGACCTCAGGAGTTGAAAATGTTACACAATTAATAAAGTTCTATAATTCTTCTAAATGTTTAAATGTGTTTTATTTCTGTTTGTGTCGCTGTAAAGCCGATGACGTCATGTTCTCATCTTCATTAATATTCATCGTATCAATAACACAAATGCATTTGTCAAACTTCAGTCAGTTAAAGTCTAAATGTACGATAAAAACAGCTGAAAGTCTTTTATGTGCAAAAGATTCAAACTAAAGATTTGATGTGAAGCAGCGCGTTTCTCATTATAATCTCCTCATCTTGAGCTAATTATTTTTATTTTTAGTTAAGGAAAAATAATTTTTCCATGAATTAAGATAAAATATGAAGTGAAAATATTAAACTCACTATGCAAGTAAATTAAGCATTGTTTACCCACCCACTCCCACAGACAGTCAAACAGATGCCAGCAGAGTCAGCAGCAACACAGAGACAGAGTTCCCTTCCAGCTGTGTTTGAAAGCCAGCGGAAATATGAGAGAGGCTCAAAAGTTGCGAAGAGGTTAAACAGAGCAGTGGCTGAGTTCATCTGTACTGATCGGGTGCTATGATGGCACCATGTAGTTTTCATTAATATCTTGCTGTAGGCTAATACTAATATTAATGCCATTTGTTAAGTGTTCAAAAAGCTGGGCAGGAACAAGCTGGTAAAAAAGGGAACCATACAGATGTTTTATTTATTACTATTATAGATAAATATACCAGTATCGTATTGTATTTGTGGTATTGTATCGAATTCTGGTATCGTTTCGTAAGTATCGGGTATCATGATATTTATGGCAGGTATCGTATCGAAGCCATCATTTTGGTATCGTGACAACCCTACGTTGAGGTAGTTGTGAGTCTCGTTGAGGAAGTTTTGAGTTTCGTTGAGGAAGTTTTGAGTTTCGTTGAGGTAGTTTAGAGTCTCTGAGGTAGTTTTGAGTCTCGTTGAGGAACGTTTTGAGTCTCGTTGAGGTAGTTTTGAGTCTCGTTGAGGAACGTTTTGAGTCTCGTTTAGGTAGTTTTGAATCTCGTTGAGGAACTTTAGAGTCTCGTTGAGGTAGTTTTGAGCCTTGTTGAGGTAGTTTAGAGTCTCGTTGAGGTAGTTTAGAGTCTTGTTGAGGTAGTTTAGAGTCTCATTGAGGTAGTTTAGAGTCTTGTTGAGGTAGTTTAGAGTCTTGTTGAGGTAGTTTTGAGTCTCGTTGAGGTAGTTTTGAGTCAGTTCAGGTACTCGTCTCTCTGAAGACTTGAGACAGGAGACGGAGGGTGAGACAGACTTTTCACCTTTTAGAAACTCTGCTTGAAGATCTGGACTTCTCAGAGACAGATGAGGAAGAGGAGGAGCTGAATGTCTGGTGCAGCCGTCACTGAGGTAAATGTTATTGATGATGATGATGATGATGAAGGTGGTGATGAAGACTTCATGATGAATGTTTGCAGTGGGAGGAGCAATCAATAGATTTAAACTGAGATTAAGATCTCCTGCTGTTTTATGGAAAACATCAGATATCAGATTATTATTGATAATACATTGACTTGTAATGACATTTTAATGTACAGAGTACCTGAACAGGTAGAGAACAGGTAGAGAACAGAGTACCTGAACAGGTAGTGAACAGAGTACCTGAACAGGTAGAGAACAGAGTACCTGAGCAGGTAGTGTACAGAGTACCTGACCACGTAGTGTACAGAGTACCTGAACAGGTAGTGAACAGAGTACCTGAACAGGTAGAG